ATCTTACTCTCAGTCTTCCATGCAATCAATCGTGGTCTTCTCTCTGTGAGCTTGCATCAATATAACACAGCCAACTTTTCCAAATATCTGATCACATCCATGCCCGCAAGTTATTCTTATAGATAACTGGAAGTTGTAATAAGTTTAGACCATCAAAACATTGAGGTTTCTTCAAATGACCAATAACAAGTGGCTGAAGTTTATGAGAACCAGTTATATTCGTAGCCAGTAGTATGGTGAGTTGTGATTTATTCTATTTTGACTTGTCAATACCATTTATGCGTTGTGCTTAATCTCAGATTCAAATGTATCGGTATTTATATGAGTAAAATCACACGACAATCAGCCACATTTTGTAATAAATTGATTTTGCCTACACTTAGTCAAATACGGATAAAACAGATCAACCGTTCGTACTGAAGAGAATTTTCCAAAACATTTTGATTTATTCGCATTGTTCTTTGTATTGTTTTGTATTCGTCGCCAAACCATATTAACCATTTGGGCAAAATATATACAACTAAAATGTCCACTCGGTCAAATGGTCATCTAAAAGGTCTTTATTTTATATTTTACTAAAATAATAAAATAATACCAAATCAATGAAAAATTAATTTTTTTGAACCTCGTTTATAATTCTCGATTTTCGTGTTTGCAGATATATGGTTAAAATAGTATTAACCTGTTTCGTTCTAGCGTAGGAGGTGATCCTATTAGGGATTCTTTCCCCGGTTGACATTTGCGAAATCAACAAGATTGATTATCATGTCTATTAACCAACTCAACATTGGGCATCTCAAGAAACTAATAAAGGAAAGAGCCAATAATGCTAATAAACTGAGGCTATGGAAGGTTGAAGTTGCTGATTCTCAAAAAATACTTAAAATGAATACCGAAATTGACATTAAACGAGAACTCAGCGGTGAGGAGTTGAAACCATCTACGAAGTTTATAACGGTTTTTCTAGACGAATATAAACCTCCAGATGATACCATTCATGTCATCGTACAACCGCCTGCCATCACTGGTAAGTGTCTCCCAATGTTTTACCTCTCAAACAAAGAAATTTGCAGTTATCTCATTCTTTTATTCGATCAGGAAAAGAAAACTAGAAGATTCAGACAAAGGAAACAGAAACTGAGGCAAAAAGAAAGAATATCCTCCAGAATCAAAAGAGGATCGTGACATTCTTCTTGTTATTTCAGGTGAAAGACAGAATATTATCACTAAATTCGTGGAAAACAACCATGTTAGTCTTTTGCGCACTCCTCCATCGCCAGGCAAGACTACTCTCGGTCAGATGCTCCGAGACTATTTCATTGAATACAACCATATTGATATATACATTAGTCTTGCTGGTATAAGTGGTAAAGAGCAAGTAGATGAGAAACTCTTTGAAGAGTTCTGGAAGAACAAAGTTGGTTATATCTGGACAAAAATCAGTGACAACACAAAGACCATTTATGTTTTCATCGATGAAATATAAATTATCTAGGTAACTGCGCTCTATATTTTTGGAGTAAAGTGAAAGCACTTACGTCAAATGAGTGCAACAAAAACATTCATATACTACTTCTCGGCACATATGATTCAACACTTGCGAATGAGGAAATTTAGTGACAGTGATACTCTTAGTAAAGGAAGAGCTCAAGTTGGCTGTGTTATATTGATGCAAGCTCACAGAGAGAAGACCACGATTGATTGCATGGAAGACTGAGAGTAAGAT